TATAGTAACTTAGACGCCTATTACTTCATGTTGATAATGCCTATATCGCCTACTAACAGGAAGCTGAGGTGTTACTTAGTAGACTCGCGCCCCAGCTCCAAAATTATGTTTCATGGTTAATATTTAGCAGTTATAAGTTGAACGCCGGTAAAATCCGTAATGTACCAACCGCAGTCCAACTACCTAGAATCATCTATGCGACTTTCCTTGGGGCCTCTATCGTGACGGGGGGATGCAGCTAACTAAATTACTTACAATCCACCACCCCTAAACCAAGCTACCTACACACAGGATATATATTAATTAGTCGCATTTTTTCCCTCTAATCATTATTATATTCCTATTCTAATGATATGGCGCCTACCTCTGTTGGGGATGATAAATTCGACACCTAGTATACCCATCATTGATTACAAATGCTTATCTATAACTAAGCTGATACAGAATTAGGGCTTGTCTGAGAGGCACTAATTTTATGGATTATGCTCTCGAGAGTCGCGAGTCTCTTCTTAGATGTCTCACCAGATCTCATATTTGACGAATATCCTCTAGACTACGCAACTCGGACAGTGAGGAAACTGACGTATAAGCCCACCCTGTGGGCAGCTAACTGGGTCACCCTTTCGTTGGACCGCGTTGAGAGTGGACATTCTCACCGTTGGGTATAGTCCCCAACAGTTAGTAGCTATAGGACAATGGGCCAATGTTTATTACACAACAAGTTCGGTAGCTTATAATTATATAAAGGCTAGCTAAGTAGGTGATGTGGTAGATAGGTATAAACTCGAAAGATAGACTAGTAACGTAATGCTTATACTATCTGCGGTTGGCTATATGGCCAATATCAGCTAATCTCAAATCCCTATACATAGTATAAACAAAAAGGACCCTGGAATGTAAGATTCTAGAATCGGTGCCCTATCACAGCTTCGTACGACAGATAAGGACACCTCTTTGGTGTTGTAGCACAGCATACAGCATAGATAATCGATAAGAAGAACCCAACCAAGACTAAGCCCCTGATAATCGTCCGTGCCGAGCCCCGAAACGTTGACGTGGGCTGTTCCTTCTCCCCCACGTTGATAAATCCCTGCAACACCAATTGAACGGCGGCGCCGTAATGAAGCAAGTGCAGGGGTAACGACTTCATGTTTAATCGAATTGAGTTTTTCCAATTCTCAACCTAGCGCAACCTTAAACCTTCAAAGAACTTTTAGGACCTTCTTAGCTTTGAATCCTACCAGGTATCCAATTCTATCGGATTCCTTTGTCAACTGTACGTATCTATCTTCGAAAACACCCGATTCGTTCCGTATTATCGAATCGCTTTCTTATTAAGAATTAAAAGTCTAACCGTTTAGTTAGTTAGATTAGATTACATATCCATCCATCCCTCGATTCGAGCATCTAACTCTACGATCGCAATCTCTCGTATTCCGATAAAACCCCCCTCTCGGATCTCATCCACATCCACTACTTCGGAGCCATATTTCCCGCCTTTGCGCGCTGGCGCATTGGGACGAATGGCGTCCATCGTAGAGACCCAACCACCGAGTGCCACTGGCGCGGCGGCCACCGGAATCGTACACAAGAACCTATCGCAAGCAACGCTGCGCCCAAACCCACCTCCCTCGCCTCCCGCAACCGAGACAGACGCTGAGACCGACTCGAACGCCTCGAATGCGCCACAACCTACATCATCTACCACGGGACCGTCGTCGCCGGACCGCCAAGCTGAAGAAGAAGATGATGCGCCCGTGATCTCGCCCGTGACGTCCCCGCCGTACTGGATAAACAACCACTCGCACCACGCGAGGGGGATATCCTCCGCCTCCGTCGAGTCCCTCCCCACGGGCGGCATCACGCTGCGCGACAACGAGAGCAACAGCCTCGACGACCGGGGAAACGCCTGCTGGGCCAAGAGCGTCGAGATCACCGACTACGTCATCGTAAACGGTAGCGCGACCAACATCGGCGCATTCGTCGTCTGGAATATTCGGGTCGAAACGCTAAGCGTGAGTTTCTCCTCTCCCCTCCCCCCGCAAAACCAAAAATACGGAAAAGGGCAGAGGAATTGCGATAACGGGAGACGTGCGGGACTAATGTTTCGAAAATCGGATTGTAGGGAAGCTATATGAACATACGAAAACGGTATTCAGAGTTCGACGACTTCCGATGGCGCCTCGTGCGCACGTTCCCCAACTTCGAGGCGGCGGTGCCTGAGCTACCCCCCAAGAGCATGATATCCAAGTTTCGGCCTAGGTTCCTGGAGAGACGCCGGGCGGGTCTGCAGTATTTCTTAAAGTAGGTCAAACGTGTTTATTTCCTACTAGTAGCCAACTGGAACATGAAATATTAACGTGTAGTTAATAATAGTTGTATACTGTTGAATCCGGAGTTCTCCGGCTCTCCCGTCCTGAAGGAATTCCTTTTCTCGTAATCTGAGGCTTAATGGGGCTGGTCAGGCTATTCCGCGGGGGTCCCAACCCGCATGATCTCGACGCACGTCACGAAGTAATGCTAATTCTTGTACGAACACAATCGCTTGGATACCCGGAACGATTAGGTGGATGAGGCGGTTTTGGATCCGGTCGACTCAAGGGGCGCCGGTAGCGTGTCACTCTATTTCATTCGAAAGTATATATTGGGGAACCTGGTTTTATATTTCTTCAAATTCCAAAGTTTTCGTCCCGTTGAGTGTCATTTATCCTTCCATCGAAAAAACAGAAACGGATTCCACGCAAATGCTTGCCCGATGGGAATAAACTCTCTCGCTCTAGGCCTAACCCGATCTATATACTTATATCCCAACCGCGGATTATGTAAATGATGGAAAGAAAAGGAAGTCCATCTAACAATGACGACATGCAAGAGACTACTACTCTATAGACCGACAGCTACGAACGCTCGGTCACAAACGCCCAGTCTATCACCGTAGTTTCCCTCGTCCCTTTTGAATCCGTTTTTATTCCCAAGAGACATATATCATAAGCCCTCGGCTCTAGACTTGAATCCTACGATATCACCCATTATATTCCTCATTACCTCCAAACGTTCCCAAGTTCTTCTCAGCCAAATGGAGATAAACTCACCAAATCGACCAAGTCGTCATGACGTCCGTTTCATTTCTTGCTGTTGATCATGCTAAGGTAGCAGTTCCAGCCGATACTAACGAGGTTGACGACGAGGACGCGGTGGTGGAGGGGGACGAAGGTGAAGTTGGCCATCTGGACGAAGGGCCAGATGAGATAGTTGGTCTGGAGGGCGGGCACGTAGCTCTTGGCGAGCTTCTCCTTGGGGGACCCGCCCTCCATGACGGCCATGCTCGACAAAAACACCCCGATGAATGTCGGCGCGAACAGCAGCTGGTCGGCCGCCACGCGCGCGATCATCTCCGCCTGCTTGTTGCGCAGCTGGATCGACCGCTGCAGGATCCCGTACCAGGTCGTGGCGGCGGGGCCGAAGACGGCTGCAAAACGGAAGGTTAGCGTCTAAGTCTAATTTTCGAACTCATTTTTCTTTGCTTTAGTTTTTTTTTTTTTTTTTTTTTTTAATTTTAAGCTTTTGACACTTTTTCTTTTCCGCTAGTGCGCTTTTTCTTTTCTCCTTGCTGCGGAAATACAGCCGTTGTGGGGTAAAAAAAAAAGGGGGGTGTAAAAAAAGAAAAAAGGGGGGGCATGTGAGGGAATTGGGAAGCGGTCAGTTGGGGTTGGGGGGTAATGTGGGGTAAAAGTTTGAACAAACAAGCTTGCGAGGTGAGATAATGATATTGGTGTTGAGAATTTTTATCGTATCTTGGGACTTAAAAGATCAAAGTATTTGGGTTAATAAAACACGACGGGTTGAAACCTACCACCACCGTAGAGGAACATGCGACCCGTCCGAGCAAGCTCGTGCTTCTCGAGACCCTTCTTCTCGACGACCTGCTGCGCGGTGATATCGCCGACGGCGAATAGCACAGCGGTAGTGACGGCTTGCGTCAACAGCGGCCTTGAGGCGAGCTTTCGTTGATACCTGAGACGGACCGGATCAGCATTATTTCTATTCGATATAAGATATACCGGCTCAATAAGAAAGAAAAGGGATTAATATATATATATGTCGAGGTAACATTCGTCCTACGTACCAGCGAAGCATGGTTGCGTGATGGTGCCGTAATTTCGAAGGGCCGATATGGAATTGGAGGCTGTTTATTTTGTGAAGTGGTGGTTTGTTGCAACTTTGGTTAATTTGCAGACTTCTGGACCCCTAAACTTAAAAATTCTTGTACGTAACCCGCAAAGGCCCCAGAGTACCGGTTTTCTCGTTAGCTGCATATGACCTTCCAATGGGATGGGTCTTCTCGCCCGTCCAGGATTAAATTTTCGAAGAATTGCCCTAGCGGGGATAGCTGTGAGGCTCTCCAACTGCCAGCATGGTGGTACATCCCTTACCTAATATAAACCTCAGCATTAGTCCGTACATATGGCCAGTCTTGAGGTAAACCTAATAAAGTGGGTTTCTAAGTGGCCGCATATTCCTTTTCCTTTTTTTTTTTTTTTTAGCTGCTGTGGAATGTGAGTCGTGTGCCAGAATCTTTTTTACGAAATACTCGATTTCGGTCAACACTATTTATGATTCTCCGAGCTATATAGGTAGTTAGGCACCTAGCGATGGACATACAACACGAAATAATATTCAAATATTCCAAATTCTAATATCTTTCCAGACGGTAAGCTACCTAGGCTAATAGATATCTGGTCCACGAAATGTGACATGTACGCATGTGTACCTAGGTTCGCAACATATGAAAACATAGGGCTACAAGCTTACTTCGTATAAGAATATTCATTTCCCTTTTTTATACAACAAAAAAAAAAAAAAAAAAAAAAAAAAAAAAAAAAACATAAGCCAAATCACAAAGAGAAAAATAGAAAAAAAAAAAGGCAGCTATTACTACAGTACATTAAACCGTTAAAAATCGTTGCTTATCCCAGTGTACTAGGAAGCATCGGGAATTGAGCCCGATGCGGGGGTCGAACCTTGAAGGTGATGTTAGCATATATGATTTTGAATAACCTCAGATGGCGAGTGAATAACTTACCCGCAACCTTGAGATTAAGAGTCTCACGCTCTACCGATTGAGCTAACCGGGCGCTTTTTGGTGAAAATTTTGCTTGCTAGGTCTGTTGATATTTGCTTGTGCGTGGAGTCCGTCGCCCTAGCTGGCTTGGGCAGGACCTTGGTGGGCGACGGCTGTTTATGCACACAGTAAAGAATTAAGTATTTTATTTAAGAAATATCGTCAAAATGGAATGTTTTACATAGTCAAGTACGTCCCTGTATGTGGCCGCCTCTTACTGAGCTATGTTAGAGAATATCTGTTGCATACCTCCGCTGTAAATGGGATCGGGGATGCTACACTAGATGGCCATTCACGAGGAGGATATATATAATAGATAACATACTATGCTCTACTTTTATTGCGGTAAAATTCATCTTGCTCTACTCCTCTCGAAAGAGGTAACCTGGAACTTCAACATGCTACAGTCATGTCGATATAACTTGCATGTGTTCATGGCCGTCGGCCGGGAATAAATCCATCAACGTTATTATCTCGGTAATACGAGGCTTCATACTTCTAAAACCACGATCTTTGACCCTCAATGTCATACACTCAGCGTTAGCGTAATAATGTTATAGTGTGACATATATACGGCGGATTTAACAAGATACGAATACGCAGTCTCTGCTTATAGACAAGACTCTAGTAATGAGTAAGGCCACGACGATGTTTTGCTATTGTCCAGGCTGCCAACCAAAGCCTTGACCACGACGATAGTAGCCGGTTTCATCCTATCTGTAACTATCTATCACGATGTCAAAACTCAGGATTGGACTAACCTAGAAGTTTTAATAACACAACAGGATTTAGACTTGGTGGCTCGGACGACCATAGCCCCCCTTTAGTCTCTCAATCACAGGGACGGTTTCAACTTTGGTCGTAGGGCGAACGCTTAAGTTACTCCTCTAAGGCTTCGTAAGACAACGGCGTCTAATCTCAAAAGGCTTAGTTAGCCTAACTTCTTGTCAAAGTTTAAGAGACTCAGCAAGGGTTTGTTTATGTTTATCATCTTGCATTTTATAGATAGGTACGTCAACAATAATAAAACTATAGTTTCAAGCTTTGACGTTCAATGGAATTTGCCAAACTTCTGGAGTGTAATAATGATGCCCGATTGGCACTTTCATCGAGGAGGTAATCGCCACTGCGAGTAGCATATAATACTTCAAAGCGTGTTGCTATATCTTAGTAGTGTGTGGTTTAGAATCCTCTCTTATCAAAGCTTCCTGAAGCTACAGGATTTTGATAATTTGGTACGGTACTTGAGAAACGCTCGTTTACGGCGAGGGAGCGGAATAGTTGGACCATAGCGAATATAAAGTTGGGGCCGAGCGTATGTGTGAGCTTTGGCGTAAACATTGAAAGGTATGTTTATTATGTCGTCTAGTGAACCTGTTTTCCTGATTTCCTCTTACAGATCGTTCTCACTCTCAAAAACCACATATACAATGATAACTGGTTGCATTAACGCATCATTCTAAACCCGTGTCGAATAGCTTACACTTTTTCGATAAGTTCTATACCAATAGATTCGTCCAGGATGGCCCAAATATGTAAGAGCCTCCTGAAGGCTTTCAAGTCAAGGCGGCAACATGATGCGATTGACCCAGAGGGCACAAATGCCGAGAGGGGCGGCGAGACGGCTTCGTCCACAGATCAGGTGTTTTGCTATGTCGAGCATGAAAGCTGTCGAGGTTGGGCTGGTAACTACCCTTGCGTCTTCGGGCCTACCGAGGGATGCTTTCGACATAACCCACGCGGACTCCAGATTTCATATAAAGAAATCAGTCCAACTGACAGGAAGACTTGGAACCTTACCCTAAGGAGACCCAGGTCACCTAGAAGAGATATACTCCAACACGATATAACCCAGAACGATGATCTGGTATGGTCTTCATTGCCTGTGGAGCACTCCACCGTCGACCCGCTCGATTATATTCATCCTTCGATCCGCTATATTCTGGCATACTATCATATCCACTGGGTTCGAGCGGCACCGTCAATTGAGACACAAAGAGCAAGAATCGAGGCCTTGGCATGCCACGGAACCGTGACGGGAGACGGAAACTCCCAAAAATTTGAATACTGGACCTACCCGTGCTGGCATAAAGACTCTTTTTATCTTCTGCAAGCGATCCGATTTACTATCGCACCGAAGAAATGGCTGTCTAGGTTCGGATACGATTTTGGCATACCAGGACTTTCTCCGAATAATTGGACATTTAAGACTTGTCCGCACTACCGCCAATGCTTTCAAGCGTATGAGTTCCGAGAGACACGAGGAGTTTTAAAAGCGGGCATGGCATATGTAACAAAGCGGCGCGACCCTTCAGGACTCTACGAAAAGAAATCGACCAAGTGGCAGAGCGTATATGGACCTCGCGACGATACTTTTAACTGTCAGTTCTGTTGTACGGATAGTTATATGGATATAGACCTAGTCAATGGTGAGATCGAGGTCCATATATGGGTATGGAAAGATCTCGGAAAGGCGCTCAACCCGTTTGATCCGAAGTGGATCGCAGCCCTTCATGCCGATTCACCCGTTATGAAACGCTCGCCAGCTGAGGTGAACAGCAATCAAGTGCGAAGAGCTTTTCGCGCAGCACTGCGCGAAGACTAAGCAGTTGGGCGATCTGATGAAATGGCTTAAGTTATGATGGTCTGTACAAAGTATTAGTAGAGTCGAATGGTATAATATTGTATGGATTATGAGAGGGTTGAGGTGGTTTCTGGATTTGAATAATACCTTAAGGTACCTACATACAAGAGAAGAGGCGTATGTAAAGTCTTTTGGGTTAAAGCATGGCGTTGAAATTTACTATGTACCGACAAATAGTCGAGATTATAAAGCAAGATTATATAAACGCAGCTTGTATGATGATCACATGTAGCTTCTAATGTTATGGAACCCACTATCTCCTGCGAAAGAAAGGAAGGAGGACTATAGGAACAACGCTGACACATCACAGTAGCTTCCTTCTCATTCCAATAAATTCTAATAAATAACCCTGGTTTCACAGAAGAAAAAAATGGCACGTGTCTATTGTAGTTCAGACTTCGGATTTGGACACAGTAATCAATCACTCCTTCCATCAAGCCTCCCTTGTCTACGGGTACCTACATTCGGTGCCGTAATATGTAGTTGTACAATACTCGAATTTGTACACACCTGACATTTGAAGTTTTGGCCGATTAAATGCGCTTATGAGACGGAAACGAGAAAAAAAAAGATCGGCGTTTAGCAAAGATAAGAACCGTCAAGCACATGGGTTGATTATATACCCAATGTAGCAGTGGAAACGAGACTTTATTAATCTGGGAAGCTTAAAAAGGTGGTAGTTCGGACGCATGGATGCAGACGGAGGGGCCTTGATCGGAGGGCGGGCGCGGGCGCGGGGAACGAAAATTCAGGGTCCGTCACATCGGGTAGGAGACTGTCGTACTATAATATGCAACATTGTTACCTTATGTATATAAACCAATCTAACATATGCAATGGATCCATGCCATGTTCTTTCGGTACGAAGGAATTGCCGCATGCGTTCATTACAGTATCTTGTTGGATGCGGCCATTCAGCAGGAGTCAGCTTTCTTCTATCATGGGTAGTGGGAGTTTTGCGGCTCAAAGTCTTCTCCCCCGATCTCACTCGGCCGAAGTGAGAAAATTCGTGAAAGTGATAGGGTTTATGTAACTACGAAAAGAACCAAGACGAGACGAGGCGTTGCGTGGGCGTCACGTTTCTTAGTACCTGTCGGTGCAGGTGGTTAGATGCTTACGTACATACATAAGTACATATGTATATACCTGGACAGTGCATGTCCAGTGCATACCAGGCATAACGGTATCGTGTTGTCTAACCTAAATAGGAACTTGACCTTTTAAAGCGCGGGCAGGTGTACGTACGAATGGCCACCTCCCTAACAACGACTATAGATGGAAAGAGACTTTCTTTTACATACCTGTATGATGGTAGATAAAACATTAGGTAAATGTATGCGTATCCGTATACATACCTATAGTTATACCTACTACCTACCTGTACTAACCGTATACAATCACAATAGATATAATTCACTAGTTACAAAATTGTGGGTAGATATTGAGTACTTTCAATGAGAAGGCAACACCTGGGTCCAATGGAGAATCCCTGTAAACATCACTGTTCTGGACCCGCAGCCACCCTTGCAACAACGCATGTACTTATCGGTATATGATTGGCCGCTTCCCTTTTTCTATTTTCCCTGTGAACCTGTGCAGTCTCGTTTTACTTTAGGACGGTAGGTACCCTTGTTGGATAAGGTACTAGCTCGAAAAATCCTAATTAGGACTCGGCTATCGTACGCCTTCCTATTTACTGCCCACACCCATTCCAAGCCTTGTCCAGCCAGTCCAGCCCATCCTGCCTGCTATGTATAGCACCTAATGCACCTACCGGCTTACACACACCCACTCGTCTTCACCCAAAATCTAGTACCTTGCAATACCCTGCGACACATGCAAATATCCCTACTCCCGTAACAAAATCGCAGAATCGCACATAGTATCTCCGGGGATAGCCACCAAGACAAAGCCACCTTGATCAACTTTTTCTTCTCTTACAGAAGCTGACTTGGGAAACCCTTTTATCCATTCTTCTACTTGTACCTTCCGGGTTCAAACATCTGACATTATACAAAATCGAAGCCTTTACCAATTATTTACATACATTCTTCCCTCACCTCAGCCCCTCGGCCCTTGGGCGGCGTAGACTTGAAGTTGACACTATCTCTGGGACACAACTTTTCCCCCCTCGTTCTTCCCACTCTCGCCTTGGGCTCCTCGTCTCTCCACAGTCCACACCACACCACGTTACTCACATACCCACAACATCTACTCGCCTAACTGACTACCTAACCCATTCTACTTTCTTACCTACGTACCTTACTACAAATCTTCCTGATCAACGCATCAAAACGCCAATATCCCCCCTCCTTCGTACGAAACTTTACGCTTGGTAGCGTCGGAGTCGAAGTCCCCGGCAGTTCGGT